AAGAGAATCCGCAGTTTCAAGGAGTTTTATTTATGTTGTTGTTGTAAGTTTTTCCTTTTTCTATTTAAATGTAGGGCATTTATGGAGATCTACTCTTAAATATCATGATATAAATCCCTTGAATTGCACAAAACTGAATTCGTATTTTCTACTGCGCGCACTTTCCGGGGTTTTTTTTCTTACAACGAGCAGGAAACGTACTGCTAACAATCTGCATCTCTCCTAACTCCGGAGGAGGATCTATTGCACGACTTCCATATATGGATGTACATATATTGGACCACTGGTCTACATACAACAGTCCTCTCATTTACATACATATTATATGCACCAGACTTTATCTTAGGAGGTTTTATTGTAAAATAGACAATATTACATTGTCGCACGGCGATACAAACTTTATCTTCGAGTATGGAAAATATCTCTCACGAGTGATCGAGTGCCAGAGAGATTTTAAACTGATGAGAAGATAAAATTCGTATCCGCACTAAGCTGCCATATAATATAGCCGGACACAATTCATAGAATATGAAAATGAAAATGAAGCAAGTTTTACGCAATGTAGCAATTTAATCAGGCAATAGGATTTTAAGTTTCGTCCACACTGATGTGTCTGTCTTGTTTAGTGGTTCTCTGTATTCAAGGGCATAATCGAAAAACGACGCAAAACCACGACCTGCAAATTTGTGTTACTGCCTCGTCCCGCCCAAAAGCAAGCAAGACGTTTTAAATCAACTTTATTAAGGCCTATGGCAACAAACTATAATATCAAAACTATCAAGCTAGTATTGGTAGGATATAGAGAATATTTAGTTTAAAAAAAAAATCAATAAAAAACTTTTTACATTCTGAGTGACAAAAACAAAAGCAAAAAAAATTCGTTATTGAACAACTAGGTACCGGTATTTCAGTTTTAGTCTGCTCTCGCAGCCATTATACATCTTCACTGAAATATATTAATATTCAAATTCTTACTGTATATCAGCTTGATCAGTGGAATCATCACTCTTCATCAGTGGAATCATCATCTTCATTTTCAAGACGGATATAGAGGAAAAAGTCAGGATACATTCATGAGAAATGTAACTCGGCATTTAGCAGATACAGCACCATTTGATTTATGGGACGGTGATTCACAATGTAGTCCAGGCCCTTATCAGTTATTTTATTATCGGACAGGTCTAGTTCTCTTAACGTTTTGGGACAGCGATCCGCGAGACATTTCACACCAGCATCAGTTATTTGATTAGCAGACAGGTCTAGATAGTATAGATTACTGGGGCAGTGATTCGTGAGGTATTCCACACCATTATCAGTTATTTTGTTTCTGCTCAGGTCTAGCTCTGTTAGACTGGGACAGTGATTGATGAGATGCATCAAACCAGCATCGGTTATTTCATTGGCACTCATGCTTAGCTTGGTTAAATTTTTAAATGTACCAGGACACTGATTTACTAGATACTCTACACCGACATCAGTTATTTTATTCCAATGGAGTTCAAGCTCGGTTATTTTGGTATTGGACAAGTGTTGACCCAAACAGTATGCACACTGATCGTCTAATTGACAAAGCCACAGTTTAAGTTTAGTGATACTGCATGTTGGTACAGCGAGAGATGACACCAAGGCGTGTAAACTAGTACAAGTTAACGTTGAATTAGAAATATCTAAAGTGTCTGGTGGTGTAACAGAGTGTGGTAGAGCACTCACTTTATCTATTAACATTGCCACTACACAATAGTCTGTGTCAGTTAGAAGGCTTAACTGAATACTCCTTTCCAATCTCGGCGTCCAGAATCTGCTGCTACTGAGGTTTGTAGTTAGAACTCTTGTTGTCAAATCGCTATCTTGGCCATATTCGTAGAGGCATCGTAATAATAAGAGTCTTTGTCTAAATTTCCGAGGTATCTTNGACAATCATGCTTTACACACTCCTTGAAAATATTATGTTAATAAAAACTAATACGATCAGGAAATATGTCGTGGATGATAACGGGAAAAAAGCAAAGTACAAGAATGAACATTACAAGTGCAATGTTTGCCATAAGATTGGTTCAGCCTTCTAATCCGACATTACTAAAACTGTTCTTTCCATTTAGGCAGAACTGGCCGGCCAGTCCACTCTATTTAGAGGTATATAATGTTTTTTGTCAACATTTTTCAGTCATTTCGAGAGAATTTGAAAATTTGAATTTCCTAACTATTATCCATTTAGTAAATGGGAATGATATATAATGACATTTTCTCTGGGTCTGGCCAGCCAGTTCTGACAARTGGAAAGCACACTGAGGGTAMAGAGGTTACATCAAATCAACAAAAACACTGTTAAGTATCAAGTGAGTGTTTTCGTTCTAGAAATTTTGTAGTAAGGGCTTGAATTGTTCGCTAATGATTGTCATTTGTAAGAATGAAATGTAGGGAGACTTCTGTAAAGCTTTAAAACCTTTTAGAAATTTGATTTTGATTTTCAATGCATTGTGGATTATAGCCCCYGGAGAAATCCGCCATGTTTGTCCCAAACATATCCTATAATGCATTACGTATACTGTATGTGACGCAAAATCTTCAGGGCTCTATTTATACATGCTTTCTGAGTATCTGAATCTAATAAAAGAGATAAAATAAAGCATGAATAGAGTAAAGGTTACCGTAGCTTACGAGGTTTTTACTCATACATACATCTGTTAATTGGAGCTTTAATTTCGTTATTTAATAATTCTTTATTATTTGCGTTTTATGTATTTCCTGAKTATACGAGTATTAGATTTTAGTGCTTGCTATTGAGTGATTGACATAGTGATCACATCGGTTCTTCTTTGGACGCTGGGGACTAGCCTCCTCCGCAGGCATCACTAAGAATCACGGGGTTCCTGTCTTTTTTACGAGTCAAAAGAGGGAGAATGGGGGCGAGAAAAGGGGAGCTTGTGTATTCTTGTGTATTATTTTTCCTATCTCGTCACTAGTCCCTAACGGCCATTATGACCGTTACAAAGGAAGCCCAAATAGGAAAAAAAGAGTTGCCTGTGGAGGAGGCTAGCTGGGGACAAGCTATGGAACAACAGCYATACTGAATACCAAATATTGAAGCAAATGGCCTAAACCTTCACAAAAGTGCAAAGTAAAACTTAACACAAAGCTTGTGATTTGTATTTCAHTCTATATATTTCCTTATATTTGATAAAAACAATGCAAATGAACAAATGCTTAGTTTTGGCTACAGCTCTGTTCAACTGGAGTTGCCCTCCCCCACCACCCGAACGACAGTTTTGCTCGAGGATTTTTAGGTACAATCATATTTTTCCTTAATAACTTTGAATGCTGTGTCT